ATCTCAGCTCAGTGCAACCTAGCTCCTTGGTCGCACAAGCAATTCTTGTGCCTAAGCCTTCCGAGTAGCTGGAACTACAGGTGTGCACCATCATGCCTGGCTAATATTTGTATTTCTAATAGAGACAGGGTTTCACTATGTTGGCCAGGCTGGTCTTGAACTCCTGACCTCAGGTGATCCACTTCCTTCTGCCTCCCAAAGTGCTGGAATTACAGGTGTCAGCCACCGTGCCTGGCTTCTCAAAACGTTGTAGAATTACCCCATAGTCCAGCAATTGCATTTCTGGGTGTAAGACCAATAGAAATGAAAGCAGGGACTTGAGCAGGTGGTTTGTACCCCATGTTCATAGCGGCATTATTCACAATAGCATACGTAGCACCCCAAGGGTCCAACAACAGACGAATAAACAAAATGTAGTCTGTACCATATACACATACGTGGAATATTGTTCAGCCTTAGAAAGAAAGGAAATTCTGACATGTGACAACATAAGTGAAGGTTGAAGGCATCATGCTAAGTGAAATAAGCCAGTAACCAAAGGACAAGTATTGTACAATTCCACGAAATGAAGTACATAGAATAGTTCAATTAACAGAAAGTAGAATGGCCGTTACCAGGGACTGGGAGAGAGGGGAGAATGGGGACTTATCGTTTAATGGGTACAGGTTTCAGTTTTGCAAGACGAAAACAGTTCTAGAAATGGATGGTGGTGATGACTGCACAATGACTGTACCTAGTGCCACTGAACTATATGCTCACACGTGGTTAATATGACAGATCTTATGTATATCTTACTGGAGTAAACAAGAAAGAAACTAGCTGCCTATATGTGGTTGCCTGATTTATAAAGAAGGTGACAGTGGAGAAAGGATGCTCTGTTCAATAAATGGTGCCAGGATGCCCTTACCAGGCAAAACATTTTCATCCCTAACTCACACCACATAGAAACATCAACTCCAGATGAATTACAAACATAAATGTGAAAGCTGAAACAATAATGCTCTTATTATAACCTTGGGGTTGGCAAAGCTATCTTAAATAGGATGCAAAAAATTCTATCATAAGAGAAAAAGATTAAAAGTCCGAATATATTAAAAACTTATGTTAATCAAAACATACCAACATGAGTGAAAAAGCAACCTCAGAATTAGAGAAGGTATTTCTGATACACATATCTGGAAAATGGCTCATATCCAGACTATATAAAGAATTCTATAAATCAATATGAAGACAGACAACTCAATGGAAAAATAAGCAAAAAACGAACACAGCGCATATCCATATGGTCAAATAACACGTGAAAAGATGGTTAATTTCATTTGTCACCAGGAAAATACAAATTAAAACTACTGTGAGATATTGCTACAAACCACCAGGTTTAAAAGAAAAAACTAAGTATTAGAATGTGGAACAACTAGAATTCTTGCACCTGCTGAGAACTCTGGTAACTTTGGAAGCTGGGAGTATCTACCATAAGACGTACACTACAATGCAGGGCAGCGCTTTTTATATCAGCCTCCAAATGGAAATTCCTCAAATGTCCATCCACGATAAAACGGATAAATAAACTGCAGAACATTCATCCAATGGATGACTATATAGCGATGGAAAGAAACAATCTATGATAATTCCATTCCTTTACAGACCAGATTATGAACTTCAACAATCTATAATACGCTAATTTAAGTGAATGAATCTCACAAAGTAATGCAGCACCAAGATAGGAAGCCAGCTACGAAAAGAAAACACGCAAAACGAATCGGTGACGTTATCAACCAGGACAGCAATTAGCCCTTGGTTGTAGGAGGGGTGGGGATGCAGGTGCAGCTTTTCCGATGTGATGCAGTGAATCTGAAGGCCATTGGTACTGGCAACTTCTTAAAAAGCCAGATAGATGAAATAAAAATGATATATGAAGGTTTTTTGGCAACTGTTTTAGGTTTAGCCATCTAGGAGGTTATGAAGGGAATGGAATGATAGCAGGGGGATTATGTGTTAAAAATGACACACTATGCGTAAGATATTGTGCTTGACAAAGGGGTGAAGTCATTCAACAAACATATACCAAGAATCTTTTATGTGCCAAGCAGGTTGTCATACAACTCCTTCAAGTAGAGGTCAATACACACATCACACACGCACAGTGTTAAGTGCTGGAAGGAGCGGAGAACAAACACACAAAAGAAACAAAAAGGAGAGAGTAGAGAAAGACAGACGTACTCGACATAAAAGCTGGTAGAATGATGGAAGCAAACCCATAACAAAATTATCTATGCAGGCGATGCTGTTTGCTTATCTGCAAATCCTGCCTTGGTTTAAAAGCAGGGAATAATATGGGCCAGGTGCTGTGGCTCAAGCCTGTAATCCCAGCACTTTGGGAGGCTGAGGCGGGTGGATTGCCTGAGGTTGGGAGTTCCAGACCAGCCTGGCCAACATGGTGAAACCCCCTCTCTACTAAAAATACAAAATTAACTGGGTGTGGTGGTGCATGCCTGTAATCCTAGCTACTCAGGAGGCTGAGGCAGAAGAATCGCTTGAACCCCAGGAGGTAAAGGTTGCAGTGAGCCGAGATCATGCCATTGTACTCCAGCCTGGATGACAGAGCGAGACTCTGTCTCAAGGAAAAAAAAAATCAGGAAATATGGTGAACTAGAAACAATATACACATAGGAACCCAACTAGATAACTTAGTTAAGCATAATTTTCTTCAACCTTGGTTGAATGGAACCTTTCTTGCTAAAATAAAATCATTATTTTTAATTTTATTTATTTATTTTTGAGACGGAGTCTCAACTCTGTCGCCCAGGCTGGAGTACAATGGCATGATCTTGGCTCACTGCAACCTTTACCTCCCAGGGTTCAAGTGATTATTCTGCCTCAGCCTCCTGAGTAGCTAGGATTATAGGTGCACACCACCAGGCCTGGCTGATTTTTGTATTTTTAGTAGAGATGGGGTTTCACCATATTGGCCAGACTGGTCTTGAACTCCTAACCCTGTGATCTGCCCACCTCAGCCTCCCAAAGTGCTGGGATCACATGTGTGAGCCACCGTGCCTAGCCTTATTTTATTTTTTCGAGACGGAGTCTCACTCTGTCTCCCGAGCTGGAGTGCAGTGGCACCATATCGGCTCATTGCAACCTCCGCCTCCCAGGTGGACAGGAGCATGCCACCACGTCCAGCTAGTTTTGTGTGTATATATATATATATATATATATATATATATATATATATATATATATATATTTTTTTTTTTAGTAGAGATGGGGTTTCACCGTGCTGGCCAGGCTGGTCTCTAACTCCTGACCTCATGATCCACCTGTCTTGGCCTCCCAAAGTGCTGGGATTACAGGTGTGAGCCATCGCGCCCAGCCTCTTATTTTTTTTAAGCTATCTTCTACGGGAAGAAAAGCCTAATTTTTTATTTTTATTTTAATTCGAGACCAACTCTTGTTCTGTCATCCAGGCTGGAGTGCAGTGCTGGGATCTTGGCTCACTGCAACCTCTGCCTCCTGGGTTCAAGTGATTCTCCTGCCTCAGCTTCCTGAGTACCTGGGACTACAGGAGCCTGCCACCACAATTGACTAATTTTTTTGTATTTTTAGTAGAAAGGTGGTTTCACCATGTTGGCCAGGCTGGTCTCGAACTCCGGACCTCTAGTGATCTGCCTGCCTTGGCCTCCCAAAGTGCTGGGATTACAGGCTTGTGCCACCACACCCAGCTGGAAAGCATGATTTTTTAAAAGGTTATAACAGAAATTAGATTAGGAGGCCTGTAGTAGAAAAATGGCCTCTGGGTAGACAAGGAAGACAAATTAGGTTCAGAAATGGCAGGGTTACTCTTTCAGGTTTATGAACAAACATTAAAGCACATAGGTATGCATGGCGGAATGTGAGAAGCATCTGTTTGGTATACACGAAGTGCCTGTTGTGTTTTCTGGTACAAGACCATAGCGCATTGGTGGAGAGAGATGTGTCGACAAATTATTCAGATACAAATGTACTAAATACGCAATGTAATTAGGAAAAAACCCGAGGGCAAAAAGAAAGGCGTGACAATGCTTCGGGGAATTTGGAATGGTTTTATTGTGTGACATGTTAGTTGGCCCTTGAAGGATAGGTAGAAGTTTGTTAGTTATGTTTAGAAATGCAACCAGAGGAAGCCCATAAGCCTGGAGCGTTAAGAAACTGCGCAGAAACACAGGCTGGTGGTTTGAGTATTGGGCTGTGTGTGTCAGATGCAATAATAGAATGAGAGGCTAGGAAGGCAGGTCGGGGCTGGAGAGAACAGGATCTGCAAGCTTCTTGTACATCAGAAGGCAAATATGGCACAGAGGTTAGGAGAACCGCTTCCTTCTAAGTCGCGCTCCAGCACTTGCTAGCAGTATGCTGCAGACCCTGGCAATGGGCGTACCCATCTGCAACTTGGGAAAATAGTCTTTTCCTCCTACGGATTAAATGACTGAATGGGTATCAGTCAGTTAGGGCAGCTTGCAGCTCACATTAAGCGCTAAATGAGAATGTACTGTCATTACGAAGATTACCACGCCAAAACTCGGTTTCTAGGAGGGTACCCCAGCCTCTTCCCTACTGCTACCGTTTGGGAAGAAAAGTCCTCTCGGGTCGGGCCGTGCCCACTCCCCACTCCTCCGTCCTCCTAGGCTTCCGACCTTTCTTCAGCGTGCAGGGCCCGGCCAGGGAGGGGGTAGATAGGCCTGGTGGGCTGCGGAGACGCCGCCGCTTACCGGGGCTCGGATCCCGCTCTTCGTCCTCCGCTGTTCCGCGGGCCTTGAAGCCGGGCGGCAGGGCCGGTCCGATCAGGTCCCTTGCCATCCGCAGTGGCGGACACTGGTCACAGATACGAGTCTATCCAGGTACGTCAAACCTATCCCAAAGTAATCCCGCGATCCGCAGAGAAGAATGGAAGGTTTCCCGGCGCCGACTGATGACGTAAAGTCTGTGGTTGGCTGGGCCGCGTGGTTTACGGCAACGGAAGTGACGTCTAATGCTTGCTCCGCAGTCGCGTGCTAGACTCAGGACCCGGCAGAAGGTATGGCTGAGCCGGCTGGTGATTTCGTAAGTCCTGCCGGGTGGCGTGAGTCTCCCGAGCTGACTCCCACGTTAGGGCCTCAGAGCGACACTGCCCTGCGGCGGGACAGCTGGATGCTCTGGACAATGCTGCCGCCGCCACCGCCACCGCTTACGTCTTCGTCTCCCTCAGCCGGCTCAAAGGCTTCCTCTGAGTCGCAGCCCCCAGTTGAGGCCCAGTCTCTCCCCGGGGCGCCGCCCCCCTTCGACGCCCAGATTCTTCCCGGGGCGCAACCCCCCTTCGATGCCCAGTTCCCCCTTGATTCTCAGCCTCAACCCAATGGCCAGCCTTCCTGGAATTTCCACGCTTCCACATCATGGTATTGGAGACAGTCTTCTGATAGATTTTCTCGTCATCAGAAGTCCTTCAACCCTCCAGGTAGGCTATTCCTCCAGGTGGGTCGACCCCTTTACCTTTTTTCCGTTCTTTCCTCTGCACTTTCCGTTTCCTCTCTCCACTCTGCCTTGCCTCTGCACTCTTGGAGTCTGGTCATTAATGTCTCAAAATATGTCTGACTAGAATGTTTCCCTGTTGCCTGTTAATTCCATTTAGCAGTTACTTACTGAATTCAACTATGTATCAGAATCTGGGTATATAGCAGTGAGCAGAACCTACAAAAAAAATTCTTGTCTTTGTGGAGCTTAATATTAATATCTCTCGTGTGGGAAGACAGACAATAAGCAAAATAAAATATTGTGCATTAGAAGGTTATGAGTGCAGTGGAGTGAGATAAAGAAGAATGATAGGTAGTATGGGTTTGTTTTTTTTGTTTGTTTGTTGTGGGGGGGTAGAGTGTCCCTCCGTCTCTCCGGCTGGAGTGAAGAGTAGCGCGAGCTACTTCACTCCAGCTTATGCAACCTCTGCAGAGAGGCTCACTGCAACCACTGCCTCCCGAGTTCAAGCAATTCTCATGCCTCAAACTCCCGAGCTGGGATTATGGGCCCACGCTACCAGGCCCGGCTTATTTTTTATATTTTTAGTAGAGATGGGGTTGCACGGTGTTGGCCAGGCCTTCCTGGATCTCCTGAGTTCCGGCAATCCGCCCTCCTCGCCTCCCAAAGTGTTGGGATTACAGGCGTGAGTCACCTCGCCTGGCCAGGTAGTGCAGTTTTTTTTTTTTTTTTTTTCCTGAGACGGAGTTTCGCTCTTGTTACCCAGGCTGGAGTGCAATGGCGCGATCTCGGCTCACCGCAACCTCCGCCTCCTGGGTTCAAGCAATTCTCCTGCCTCAGCCTCCCCATAGGTGGGACTAGAGGCGCGCGCCACCATGCCCAGCTAAGTTTTGTATTTTTAGTAGAGACGGGGTTTCACCATGTTGACCAGGATGGTCTCGATCTCTTGACCTCGTGATCCACCCACCTCGGCCTCCCAAAGTGCTGGGATTATAGGCGTGAGCCATCGCGCCCGGCCTGGTAGTGCAGTTTTAAATGTCATTTTAGTCACAAGGAAGGTG